CAGACTACCCTCGTCCCAGAAAGTATTTTCTTATACAGCGCTCCCGCTGTACTTAATCCGCCGAGGCCAGGTACCTTTCACCTAATCCTCCTCCCTACAATCCAAACGTTTGGTCTGGCCTCCTTCATTTTGCCGAATTTAACGGCCTCCCAGGGCCCCTTCCCCCCTCCCCCCTCCTTCTTTCCCCCCGTTTCCGCATTTAGGGATCAACAATCGTGCAAAGGTTAGGGATAAGAGTATTAATATAATATCGATTGTCCCCTCGCCCAGCGCTACAAAGCTGAGGCGGGCGGCGTAGCGTCAAAATTAGTTCGAAAGCGGAAAATACGAGCGGGTAAATGGGCGCTAGCGGAAGTTATCCCTTCGGTTGGAATGAGAGGGAGGTTAGGAGGAGATAAAGTAAGAATAAGTGAAGGGGGGAGATAGCAGAGAAGGGGGAAATGAAAAAGTGGAGACTAATAAGAAGAGAGAATCTAAGATTTCGATAGATGTTCATTTCTATATTCTTTTATTTCTATATTCCTTTGTTTCTATATTCTAAGATGTTGAGGCTTGACCTTGGCAACCTCTAGAGAATAATGGGAACCCAACTCCCGGATCATTCGATTTAATCTAATATTGACGAGACGCGTTTTCTAGTCGTAAAATAAGATTCTGCACTGGCCCAATAAATTCCAGACTTTTGAGAGGAGGCCTCACGCACGATTGCTGGCAATAGAAACTAGATGAAGCCAGCGAACCTGGTCGGATAGATTTTCATTAGGTATCTGCTGCGCCATAATAGTTATCACCAGAAAAGATCAAGATCGTTAGTTAATTATTCGCGCAATCCATCTCAAATAGGATTGTCTGGACAAAGCTAGATGAAGATTTATAGGAATAGATTTCGTTGTATCATACATCCTTACCAGAAACGCAGTCATGTGCAACTTGAAAGCTCCGGGCTTGAGACGTCTTTTCGTGCTGCTCGTTATGCATGGTGCAGGCCATGTTTTGGACAACCACACTCAGAAAAGCTCGACTAAGCTCCTCGTGCTCTGCGGCAAGTGCAGCGTGCTTTGCCTGAGCCGCACCAGGCTTGCAACGCAGAAAGCGAATTGTGAATAATGGATGCGCCTCGCTGGCTTGCTTTTCTCGCTGCAGCCTTGCCATTTCCATTTCCATCGCCTGGACGGTCAGAGGAGTCAAAAGCTTGCGAAGCAGCCAGCATGAGCCTAGCTGGGTCTTGGCGCAGTGCAGCTTCGCCTTCGAGGACCACCTCGTCCTGGTTTAGAGTTTAGAGTAGGGTTTAGGGTTTAGGGTTTAGAGTAGGGTTTAGGGTTTAGGGTTTAGAGTAGGGTTTAGGGTTTTAGGGATTAGGTTTTACACTTAAGGGCTTTACTGGGGCTGGGATTTAGGGTTTTTGGGTCGGTGGGGCTCAGTGAGTGGGGCGTAGGTTACCAGCACCCCACCAATGGCCCCTTAATAGAGTCCTTCAAACCCTTAATCGTGGGTGTTTGGGGTATATGAGATTTTAGAGTACGAGATTAGGGATCGGGGCTTGTGGATCTGGGTTTAGGGTTTGGGGATTAAGGCTTAGGGCTTAGGGATCGGACATTGGCGGGTTTAGGCGTTTGGCGGTTCGGTTGCTCATTTGCAGAACAGCCTGGTTTGGGCGCCGGGGTGTGCGTCGTGGTTGGGTGGCATTCATGAACTTGAACGCAAGAGAGGGCAGACGCTGTTTGTGGCAAGTAGATGCAGCATAAGGTAAGACTCAGCAGATCAGCTCGAGAAGCACATCATCGAGAAAATCACTGCCGCAAGTAAACCTTGCAAAAAGATCCAACAGCAAACAAGCTCTGAGGCCCGGCTGTCAAGTACTGATTCACTCGACCACTCAGTGTTGGCGTTGATTCATGTAGGGTTTTCTCCTCCCCAAACCCTTCGCACCGAACTAGACGCCACGCCTCCTCGGTAAGCTCGTCCCAATCCTGCGACACAGTGGCAGAAGGGATTCATGAACCCTAAATCCTTAACCCCTAAACCCGTTCCTTGAGCTCCGGAACTGCTTAGGATGTCATGAAAACTCGCGGCCGAAGTCGCAGAACTGGAACTCCACCTAAACCACCCTTAATGTAAGTCTAGACTCTCTTCTTCCAGTTATCTGCAACTTCAACCATTCCATCCTGATCAAAGGGGTCATGACCTACCAACGCAGAGGCTTTGGGGCCACAGTTGTAGGTTGCTGCAGGTTAGCGCGCGGGATAACCCTAGAAATTGTCCTTTCAACTTGAAACCATTGTACCAGCCCTTACGCAAATCCAGGGAACATCTCCAGAAACCCGCAACAGTGGTACCAGGCAGCCTTGTCTTTCACTTTCTCCAACTCCTCCAACTGTTGCTGAAGCTCACGAATCCTCGGGTTGTACGGTCTACACAGCATTGCGTTTGGGACGTCTCTGATGCTACAGGTTTCGTCGCAGGCGAGTTTTAGTCTAATAGTGTCAGGGTATTCTAGGCTGTGTCATTGGCGTTCATGCGTTTGCGAAGTTGCATCTCAAACTCTGGTTTATGTCCAGGGGGTCAGGGTCTCAGGTTTAAGGATTAACGTCGGAATGTAGCGGAGGAACCGCACACCAATGATATGCAAAAGTGTTACGGTACGACGCTACTCAAACTTGTTTTTCAAAGTCCCTTAACCCTAAACCGCGAAGCCCCCAAGCACCCACCCACACCCACCCACACCCACACACACACCCACACACACCCACACACACGCCCACACACACCCACACACACACACCCACACACACCCACACACACACCCACACACACACCCACACACCCACACACACCCACACACACACACCCACACACACACACCCACACACACACACACACCCACACACACACACACCCACACAAACACACACACACACACACACACACACCATGCCATCAATGCTTGCGGACATGGAGGCAGGGCTTATCGTGCAAACCATCCTCGTTATCAGCTGCTTATCAGGTATGTGGCCTATGGTGGACTGCTGGAAGAAGTGGAATAATCTTCAACTTGATCTCCTCTCAAATCGAGCAATCCACCATTGCTAAAGGAGCTGTCGAATATTGTGGCCCAGAGCATCGGTCGATTGGAAATTTCGGAATCACCAAAAAATGCCAATAGAGATTGGCTGCTGTCGCAGCCAAGCGCATTCGATTGGCTTTAAGGATCAAACCAACAGGAATGCGTGACCGGAAAACCAAGCGCGGATGCTGCGAAAAGCCAAGCGGAAACGAAACGATAACCGATCGGAGATCAGCATCAAAACCAAGCGAATCGTCGCATCCTTCGTGTGAAAAACATCAAGCGAAGTCGGCTTCCGGGACCAGATGAAGTAAACATGCAGAACCGAAAGAATTCGATTGTAAAACCCATAGAAAACACACATAAAAACCAAGCTAAACCAACAAACGTAAGAGTTCGAAACCAAGCGCAATCGATTGAAGTTTGTGCACAATCAGAGGAAGCCCTCGATCAGTTGGAATGTTAAGAAGCTTTACGTGGGGAGGTAGCGAAGAAATCGCCGCAAGTGGGTCTCCCACACAGGGGGAACAAAAATTCCCTTCGACCCTGGTGCTCATGCCAACTTGTGAACCTTCGCATTTTGGCAGTTTCTTTTTTGGACCGTTTCACAATGATGTTGAAGCTTTAGGGAGGTCGCACAGGCGGTTTCAGATGCCGGATTCCTGTACCTGGAAATCCCAGCCACACAGACAGGGAGAGTAGCAACAGCCTGAGGCCGACCAAGATTTGTCACCCGTTGAGATCTACTGAGCATGCGGACTGCAGGACCAAGAGCTTGTGCCATAGAACTGGTAAAGGGCAGATGAGGACGGATTGCCATTCTCATGACTCATGACTGAATGTGGCTACATGGCCTGTTGAATCACGATCGCCTCGCCAAGGCAGCTGCTGGCATGCTTTGAGCAGGTTCTTCTGAACTTGGTGCAAAAGCTTTGAAGACCCCGCTTGTGCCCCTTGCACCCGTTCGTCAAACACTCAAGGTGAGGGCTGAGAAGCAAAATCTTGGACGCAGCACTGCGGGCAAACATGTTGTGGCTTTGTAATGTTCTACCTTATAAAACCCAACAACCATCAGACTGGGTGAGTCGGAAGGCTTTACACGGAAAACGGAAAAGCCATCAGAGAAGCTTCAAGCCATACTGGAAGTACCGAAGGCACATTGGAGCTAGTGGCGGATGAGGAAAACAATGGAAACGACGAATTTCTGGGTGACCAGAAAAGGATCCATTCCTGTAGTTTCGACTGACCACCCAAACAAAGCGATGGCTTAACCCTCCCCGAGCGCACTGAGCTCCTACTCCGAGGAAATTCATGAAGGAGCCCGGTGCGCCCAGCCGCTGAACCGCGCCAGGGAGCGCACATCGTCTTCGGCAGCACTGACGATGTCGCCCGAGTAATGGACCTCGGCGTTCTCACAGGCGCAGTCGAACCTCGACAGGCCGAGTAATGAGATGAGCAACTTGGCAACTACCACAAGTCGAGGTTGTGGCATCGCAAAAGCCTTAGCTGCTGACCAGCCTCGGCGGCAACAGGACAAGGCGTGAGAGCGAGAGCTAGCTCTCTTGGGAACCCAATCATCGATAAGATCTCTGCGCTGTCCGCACAATGTGAGCCTGGTGTTCATGTACTGTGCCGACGGCCCGGCAACATCAACGCTCTGCATGTTCGCACTGGTGCCTAGCACCCCAAGGCAGGCCTCAACCAAAGACTCCGACTGCCTGAACTCCGGCCATCAGACAAAGCCCTTGCGAGGTCACCACTTTTGCTGTGGCAAGAGCGATCCAACGCCCAGATCTCCAGCTACGCTGCGAGCCGATGCCCATGCATGCTCAACCCTGACTGTGACTGGATTCTGCAACACATAAACAATGCGACGTCTTGCAAGCAAAAAGCAAAAAAGACTTGAAGCAGAAGTCCCCAGCAATCTTTGGTCAAGTGCAGGACTTGTCCAGGCATGTCACAAGTCTGTGAGCGCGACCGGGCACCGCACCATTCAGGTGCTCCAGATCAATTCAAAGCTTTTGCTGACATTCCACTGCGCGCAGTATTGTTAGCAAAACACTCTCATCCCCTCCGTGTAATGTTGCTTGCAAATCGGACACGTGAACTTCCATTGACCTTTCAATTTCGGCACGCAGTGGATGCAATAGCAAGTGTGTCCACAGGGGTTCAGTGCATAGTTTGCCTCGTTTACCAAACAAATTCGGCAAGTGCTCTTGTTCGGTGGGTCAGCACTCTTTTCGTGCTGCTCGTTGTTCATGGTACAAGCCATGTTTTCGATAACCACACCCAGAACAGCTTGACTAAGCTCCTCGTGCTCTGCGGCAAGTGCAGCGTGCTTTGCCTGAGCCGCACCAGGCTTGCAGGGCAGAAAGCGAATTGTGAATAATGGATGTGCCTCGCTGGCTTGCTTTTCTCGCTGCAGCCTTGCCATTTCCATTTCCATCGCCTAGACGGTCAGAGGAGTCACAAGCTTGCGAAGCAGCCTGCCCAAGCTGCAACAGAAGAGGAAAAACAGGTCAGCCTCTTTTGCTTGCTGAGCTTCATCCAGCTCCTGGAGCAAGTCGTGCACATCCCAACGACATCAGCTGTCAAGTGCAACTCCCACTGCCCGGCCTTCGACATCTTCGAAACATCCGGCCGGAAAAACGCTTGCGCCTCCAAGGGCGTGCCAGCACGGCACGAAGCAGTAAGAACTACATTACGCCCCGACCAGCGCTGCATCGTGACTCGGCAGGGCCCTCTTAAGAGTAAGTAAAGGCCTGTGCGCACATGGACAGTGCTTTGAACCCCCAAAACCCTCTCACCATGCCATCAATGCTTGCGGACATGGAGGCAGGGTTTATCGTGCAAATCATCCTCGTTATCAGCTGCTTATCAGGTATGTGGCCTATGGTGGACTGCTGGAAGAAGTGGAATAATCTTCAACTTGATCTCCTCTCACATCGAGCAATCCACCATTGCTAAAGGAGCTGTCGAATATTGTGGCCCAGAGCATCGGTCGATTGGAAATTTCGGAATCACCAAAAAATGCCAATAGAGATTGGCTGCTGTCGCAGCCAAGCGCATTCAATTGGCTTTAAGGATCAAACCAACAGGAATGCGTGACCGGAAAACCAAGCGCGGATGCTGCGAAAAGCCAAGCGGAAACGAAACGATAACCGATCGGAGATCAGCATCAAAACCAAGCGAATCGTCGCATCCTTCGTGTGAAAAACATCAAGCGAAGTCGGCTTCCGGGACCAGATGAAGTAAACATGCAGAACCGAAAGAATTCGATTGTAAAACCCATAGAAAACACACATAAAAACCAAGCTAAACCAACAAACGTAAGAGTTCGAAACCAAGCGCAATCGATTGAAATTTGTGCACAATCAGAGGAAGCCCTCGATCAGTTGGAATGTTAAGAAGCTTTACGTGGGGAGGTAGCGAAGAAATCGCCGCAAGTGGGTCTCCCACACGGGGGGAACAAAAATTCCCTTCGACCCTGGTGCTCATGCCAACTTGTGAACCTTCGCATTTTGGCAGTTTCTTTTTTGGACCGTTTCACAATGATGTTGAAGCTTTAGGGAGGTCGCACAGGCGGTTTCAGATGCCGGATTCCTGTACCTGGAAATCCCAGCCACACAGACAGGGAGAGTAGCAACAGCCTGAGGCCGACCAAGATTTGACACCCGTTGAGATCTACTGAGCATGCGGACTACAGGACCAGCAGCTTGTGCCATAGAACTGGTAAAGGGCAGATGAGGACGGATTGCCATTCTCATGACTCATGACTGAATGTGGCTACATGGCCTGTTGAATCACGATCGCCTCGCCAAGGCAGCTGCTGGCATGCTTTGAACACATGCTTCTGAATTTGGTGCACAAGCTTTGAAGACCCCGCTTGTGCCCCTTGCACCCGTTAGTCAAACACTCGAGTTGAGGGCTGAGAAGCAAAATCTTGGACGCAGCACTGCGGGCAAACATGTTGTGGCTTTGTAATGTTCTACCTTATAAAACCCAACAACCATCAGACTGGGTGAGTCGGAAGGCTTTGCACGGAAAACGGAAAAGCCATCAGAGAAGCTTCAAGCCATACTGGAAGTACCGAAGGCACGTTGGAGCTTGTGGCGGATGAGGAAAACAATGGAAACGACGAATTTCTGGTGACCACAAAAGGATCCATTCCTGTAGTTTCGACTGACCACCAAACAAAGCGCTCGACGTTTGCCTCGAGATCGGCACGAGCCATCCTCTCTGCTTCTTCTGACATGGTCAGCGAGGATACCTGCGCAGCACTGCCTGACTCAGCGCAACCATGGTTTAACCCTCTCCAAGCGCATTGAGCTCCTACTCCGAGGAAATTCATGAACGAGCCCGGTGCACCAGCGGCAAGGGCTCCCCTCCGGGAAGGCAGAACCGCAAAAAAACCCGCAGCGGGAGCTCCTGCCGTCATCAAGAAGTTGTTGCACCTTACAGTAGGCAGCATACGGCCTTGATTCCCACCTCACCCTCTGCAAGAAATGTCCAAATCTCGGACACCGCCTTGGACCCGTGGCCGGCATTCACGCAAACTGGACGCTGCTAAACCAAACTTGCCCGCCTGTTTTGAAACAGTTGGATGGAAGATCTGGAACACCTCAGCTACTCGAAGGGTCTGCAAGCTCAGCAGAGATCCTCTGAGCGGCTGGCTCGTGCAAAATCGTGCCATGTGACGACACCCTCCTTTGCCGTGCAGATCTTGCTCAGTTCCTGTCAATAGCCAACCCGAATATTAGCAGTGTTTCCGTGCTCAATCAACACCAAGCCCAAGACTACCATCAAGCCGCGAATAACGAGCCTCCCTCAGTCCCTTGCCCCTCTTCAGGGAGAGCTCTTTGGGCAGGCGAGCCAAAATATGGCAAAACTTCTTCATGTCCGAAAAGGCCTGACCATCAGCTACAGCGACGTTTGGGCGGCAAACGCATCCAAGGCTTTGCACATGAGGCCTGGAGGCTCACCCCATTTGCACGTTGAAACCCTTAGTCAGCAAGATTCTTCGCTGTGGTGCCAGAACGACATGCCAACTGTTTGGAAAGATGACACAATCACGCACATGTAATATTTCAATCCGTATCGCCAAGTGTGGCCAACAAATGCATAAAAGCTGCAAAGAAAACCAAGGGATAATGAGGGTGAGCGATCAATAAGAAAAACAATCAACAACAAACAATGAAATGACAACCAAACCAACATCAAACTGTAGAGCGGATAGAGCGGGTGTCCAGAAAGCGTTTAGAGCAACGAAGGGTCATCATGATACAAACCATATGGAACCCCAAACCACGCGAACAGCTCCCGTTATGACAGAAGCGAGGATATAAGATGTGAGATGAAGATGCACACGAAGTTGAGGAGAAAATCGAAGATGGAACACGGAAAATGCGCCCCATCAAACAACTCATCCGACATCATCCCAGTCCCGTCATCAGGACATCATCCCAACCATCATCTCGTTCGCATCTCCGCATGCATCAGTCCTCCAAAGTATCACGTAACCCCTCAACGCTCATACAACTTCTGCCCTCCTTGGGGTTACCCGGCCGCCTTGTGTTCGGGATTTCTTGGTTCTCGGTTCTCCCGGATTTGAAGTCACTGGGACTCAAATCATCGTTGAGCACAATCTCTGTTTTGGCATCCTCACGCAACTCAGCCACCAACACCTTAAGTTTACAATACAACCTCTCTCTCTCAGTCGCGCTGAGCGTGTCCACTGGTGAGACCGTTCGTCAGCAGCCCTGCCAATGGGACTAACGTGCGGGGAAAACATAAAGTCGGCGGAAGCATACAGCTTGGGGAACAAGTTCAGGAAAAACTACACACACGATGGACATGTCTGTACCGGGCTCTTCGCTACCCTTTTCGGGTGAGACGATGGCAGGACTAGGGTAAATTTTCCGGCCACCGTGGAGAAAAGCTCAGTCAGAAAGGACGCTTCTAGAGCCGCCGGTAAAGCAAACCCGACGGACAAGGGGAATTCGTGACCACTCGCCGATAACAGATGGATCACCTGATAAGTCAGTTGACGTTGGTGTAAAGCATGGGAAGGCCGTGGTCCCCCGGTTCGCCTCATGTCGGCTCCCCTAGACAGCTTTGTGGAGTACTTCAAACGGGGCAATTGCTAAGTTGGAGTCAAGGTCATCCAATGGGAAATTGCTGTGCAAGCTTTGACAGTGGTCGTCCAGAAGTGTGTCCCGTCGTAAGGTGTAGACATGCACCTGCAGACGTGACAGCCTGATGGGGTGTTCCAGAGGTTTCCGGTTGCGTCATTGGGAGCCACCGGTCTCCCATGCTTGGCAAAACACGTAGGCAACAAGCGGCAGGGTCAAGTGGAACAGACGTAGGGAGGCGCACCGCTCCCACATCGGTCTGGAAATAGAGTGCGGGATGTCATTCAGACCCACATAAAACCTCCAGGATAATTTGTTGGAAAGCAAGATACCAGTCGAGGTTGGTGGTCAGGTAGGAAAAGCCTAAGGAGAGCCCATCCGCCACTGATAATCTGATCATCGTAGCGGTGAAATTGAGTACCGACCTGCAGTGGACGGTCAGGCGCATGTGCTTGTATTGGCAATCGGCAAGAAGTCGTAATGTCAATCACTGCGGGACATAGTGGCAATCCTGCGGTTCGAGCGAAGCTGGTACCATGGCGGCACGGATAGGGAAAGGGACGATCCACGCTGTCTTGTGCCAGAACCTTTACAATACAACCAGTCCCACGAGCGAACATGAGACCCATCTCCAGCATCCTTGATCTTGTCGACATGTCGTTAAAGCTGCTTGCACTGCTTGAAGTGCCCAAACAACCAGCTAAACTGGCTTGGCTCGGAAGGGCGATGCTCTGGAGGAATGGAGTTCAGAATTCCAAATGTACTCGATCCTGCTGGAGACGCCTAAAATTAATTGATACGTGAACGTGTAAAGGTGGAACTCTAGCAGAGCTTGCTCTGTCTAGTTCGCACCCCTCCTGTGATCTAGGAAGAACCGTTGGGAAACCACTTGCAACAACACCCCAGCACCCGACCTCGAGGAGCCGTGTATTTATTGCAACTGGCACCCGTCAATGGAACCCTGAAGCTGCAATCCAAGTTCTATTGTTTGAATGCTTCCGGCAAGAAACGGTGCCAGAAGCGAATCAAACCGTGGCAGCCCTGAGGTTTCGATAGGTCCGTCCCGCCAGCGTTTTCAAGGCTGGATGAAGCCACCTCACAACGGTATCGTCATTGCCATTCCGATCCATAATCTTCAGATGCACGCTCTGGCTTAGGCGGGTTTCGATGCGCCTGCCTAGCCAAGCCGAAACCGAATCAGTTGAAACTAGCGGAACGCTTAGTTCAATGAGTTAAGATAACACGCGTACGCTTTCTGTCTTAACAGAGCCAAATGGTAAGTGAGTCCAGTTGGTTGCATTCCTCAGACTTTACAAGAAAGCATGCAGCACTGCAAAATCTCAACCGTAAGAAACAAAAAAGAAAGAATAACATAAAAGAGCCCAGGTCTACGTACATCCGGAAACAAACAAAAGCGGTGTTCGAAAGGTCTGACGGAGTCATGTTTTGCTCTTTCCGCCTTTCAAAACGCTGTGGCTGTTGTTTCCGCACTTATTTACAGTTCTTTACTTTTGTCATTGTTCCTTCCGTTCTTTGTTTGACGGGCTTCTTTCTTTTCTTCCTTCCTTTCTGCTTTTGGATCTGTTGCTGTCT